CTGCGACGTGCTCCTCGTTCTTTTCCCAGCCCCTCCGCTTCCGCGTGCAACCATAAGAGCACTGTCTCCATCTTGGAAGCAGCTGGCGATGGTTTTGCGGTTGCTTGCCTTCGGGTAGGTCTTGTCATGGATGGTCAGCTCGATGTCCTTGCTCTTCTTCTTGCTCATCCTCATCTCTTGTCCGATTCTCTCCTTGAGGTCCAGCAACGTTGCACCCTTCTCAATGTTGATGCTCAGCGGTGGTCGCTCTGCACCTGCACGGATTGTAAGGTTGATGGTCTGCGTCTTCTTGTCGGCGTTGTCCTGCTTCTTCTGCTCGGCATCTCGCTTCTTCTGCTCCTCTTTGGCTTTCTTCTTCTCCTCCTTGTCAAGCTTCTTCACACGCTCCTTCATGTCCTTGGCGATGTCAAAGTAGAACCTGCAAATGTTCATTGCCCTCTTCTCCAAGCGGATGTAGTCTTCCTTCGTCTTTGCTTGGTCAATGAGGAAGTGCTCATTGGTGAAGTCGACGTTGGGGATGTCACTCAGGTTGTCAGTGGAATACATAGCGACGTCGGTGCTCTGCTTGGAACTGTAGCCTCCACTTCCGTCTGGCTTCTCATCTTTGTCGTTGCCGTCCTCGTTGCCGTCGTGCGACTTTGGGGATTGTTCATCCTCTGTGCCCTCATCGCTTTCACATTCCGACTCTTCCGTCTCGGACTCGGAGTCGTGAAGTTCCAAGTAGAGGTCGTGCTCCATCAGGTTGATGACGATTGAAGGGTCGTCCTTTTCAATCATGTGCTTAGCGATGTACTCGTCAAAGGTCTCATCCATCCCCATCATGGGATGGATTTCCTTGTCCTCATCGCCCGTCGTCAAATACACACAGGCGTTCTCAAGCTCTTGCTGGTAATCATCCGTGAGTTGCAAGCCTGTAGTTGAGCCGGTCACCTCGCACATCTTCACGCTGTTGTCCATTCCCTCACCGTGATTGACCACTCGCATCATGGTCAAAGGAAAGCTTGGGTTCTTTGAACACTGAAGTTGCTCTGAATGAAACAACAAATGCTCTCAACTGCTTAAACCGTGAAGGTGCATCTCAAACGCAAAGACTGAGCACTGAAGACCATGCAGTTGAAACAGGCCAGGCGTGCCTTTCTTGATGACGATGTCTTCCATGTGCTCGATGTTGAAGAAATGCTTGCACTCCCACATAAACCCCAGAAAAGCCCAAACTCCGAATAATGTCCGAACCAATGTTCTACCATATGATGTTATAATCTATGAACCACGGAAGAATACCGAAACAAGAAGTGGAAAATAACGAATGAGGAGACAAGAAACAAAATGTAAGGAAAAGTAATAGGTGTAGAAATGGAAACGTGAGAGGTGGAGCAAATACTTAAATGAGATATACCGGAACTGAGGCTAAGCAGAAAACAGAGGAGGTGAGCAAAAAGTGAGCAAGAATGAGAAAACGAATGAGATGAGATGAACTGAAAAACGTGAAAGGGTAAGACAACAGGGGTGAGAAAGTCAATGACCCTAGAAGTGAAAACGAAACAGGTGCAACGAATGAGAAAAAGTTAGGATGCAATGAGAAAAAACAAAGAATGAAAGAGGCGGGGCAACCCTAAACCCATTGACCTTACAATCCCCCTTTCCACTATTTTTTTTTGGGGGGGGGGGGTTGGGGGGGGGGGTTGGGGGGGGGGGGGGGAGGGCGCTGAGAGCGCTGAGGGCGGTGAGGGCGGTGAGGGGGGCATGGACTGGTTTGCTTAAAACACTGGGGCGAGGCCTGCAGGAGGGTGGGGGGGTGGGGGGGGGGGGTGGGGGGGGGGGGGGGGGGGGGGGGGTGTGGGGGGGTGGGGGGTGGGGGGGGTGGGGGGGGTGGGGGGGGGGTGGAATTCAAGGCGATGGGTGAGGGCGATGGGTGGGCACTGAAGCCAAACAATGCAAAAACACTCCAATTCAAGGTGTCATGAGCAGCATGCTGTGAGAGCGGGTGAGGGCGGTGAGGGCGGTGGGGGGTCTTCACTGACGCCGCCCTGCTACCGCTGGGGTCGGCGGATCAGCAGGAGTAGCTGCTGCAAACTCTTAAATCTATTAGAGGCATTGAAGGGACCAGAGAACGGTTGTCCCGAAAGCGTTTTTGAGCCACGATTAGGACCTCGCGATTTATAGGTTTATAATCAGAATCTCGAAGACCGCCTCAGCCGAAAAGCCCTCGTCACGGTTTCGATGTTCGCCCACGGGCGAGCATCACGACAGCACAAGACCAGAAATGTAGTTAGTGTCCTGTTGTTCGGCACCCTGGTTTATTAGGCCAACCCAAAAGACAGAGAGCGCAAGAAAATTCTGAGGATCGCGGAAGCGCAGCCTGTTCTTGCACCCTGAACCCTGACGCATCCTGACGTTAAACCAAACACAGCCTGCCCACAAGGGGCATCATCATGAAGTTCGGTTTTCTAGGTTTCTCTTGACCTCCTCGCGACTCTGCTATGGTTTCGGGTGTTCTGCTGCGGCAGGCCAGGTGCCTTCAAACATTCGTTGCAGTTTTCTTCAATGCCTCGACTGCATCTTCGTGATCAAACATTCGTGCACTGCATTGATGAAAGGTTTGCGTCATTGGCGGCGCGTATGTGGTCTTCTTGGCCTTCCTAGGCCCGCCATCCACACGAGTCAGATGCTACAACTCTGGGAAATGCTATTCCATCATGGAGGAATCACACGCTTCCCATTGCTTCCCCGTTGCTTCTCCCTCGCACCTTCTCAAGTGCAAGAGCGGCAGGAAGCCAATATTTGTCCCTCTCCGCTCTCTGAGTCTTCAGAGGCTTTGTTTGGTGGGCGGCTTGGAGGCTCTCACTGTCGAAGGCGTGTGCCTCAAACGGTGACCTACATTCTGAACGCTTGCGATGTTTCCTTCACTTTGCTTCTGGGGGATTTTTCTTGCTCCTTGAGAGGTCCCACTGCTTCGCGAGTGCATCGGCGGCGAAGCCAAGAGGCTTGTATATGCCAGCTCGTCCTTCCTCATCACGCCGTTATGCCGACCTGGCCTACCTTTCCATGTGGCCAATGTGATCGCTAGATCGACGCTTTCCCAGCTGAGCAGGGATGCGATCCCCAATGCGAGCTTCCGAGATGGCTAGTAATTCTGGGCTCCTGTTTTGTAAATGCGTTGCTAATCTTGGTTTCTTTTTGCTAAGGCTCGCGAGCAAAACGCAAGAGACGACGGTGGAGCCTCAGTCGACCGACAACCCAGATGTTGGGCAGACCTTTGACCATCAGGATTTCGGCAACGAGCTCTGCAAATGTGAGCTCTCTGAGGTCCTCAAAGAGCGGGGAAAAGCCACGATGTCGGGCTGATCGCCGAACAAAGGTCCTCCAGAGCTTCAAGGCGTGAAGCGCCGAAGGATGCTGCACGAGTGGCGCCGCAGAAAAGGGAGAGCTGCCGTTTCCAGGTGCTTGCTTGCAAAGTCTGAGATTCTGGGAATACGTTTGCGCATACCATTGAAGTAGCAAGCTTGACTTTGCGGCGCCCGTCATGATGTCATGGTCCTCGGCATGGATTGTTCCTTGTGCGGAACGCTGTAGCCTAAGGCATAGTCTTGCATGGAGATGTGCAAAGTCGTTGGGATCCCCATGTTCCCGCTATCGGCGAATCGAGAACCGGCTAGACTCGCATCTCCGTGACTGCCATACTTATGGACTGCATTCAGCATGTCACGTTGCCCAAGGTCTAAAGCAGCCTTGTCCTAGCGTGTTAGCTTCTGTAGGCAGCTGGGCCAAAGACGGAGGTAACTGATCGAGCCAAGCCGCCACAACACCCTTTGCATAAGTCGCGCAAGAGCGCAATGGCGATGCGAGCCTTTTCGTTTCTACTCGTGCCTGAATGACAGCAGTGATTCATACCGCAGGCTACACACCAATTATTTGTCAAAGTCGCGAATTGTTATTCGGTTTCGCTGCGCCTGCCACACTTCGAGCCCTTCAAATCAGCCTCTTTGCATCATGCGTGAGATGGCAATAGTGCGAAGGATCGCATTCCACAAGGCTGGCTCTTTCTGAACGATAAAGATGCAGAGTCTCCAGGATGGTTTTCAACCCAGGCTTCCGCAACAAGTGCCAATGCTCCGGCCACTCGCATGGACTGACTGGCAGCACGCATGGACTGGTGACGCGGACGTTATCATCGTGACTGGTAACGGGCGTTATCACCGTGTGGGCATGGGTGACTGGCAACACGTGCTAAAACACGGCATCCAGCAGTACTTTCATCAGTTGATCCACACGAACCACCTCCAGCTGTGCAAAGCCAGAGGTGCAAAACAACTGCATTGTTGCAGTGTTTTTTTGGCATGCGACCCACACGAAACACTGCAAATACCGAGGCAAAACCATGCAAGAAGCGTCTGAAAGAGTAGGTGCCGAAAGCACTGCCCCCCCCCCCCCGGTGTTTTCGGCATGCGACAACGAAACACTGCGAACACCGATGTGCACAAGAGGCGCGTGTTGCGCGCGATCATCCGACTGGAGGGAACAGCAAACTAGAATCAGCGAAATGAGCAGCGGCATTAGCGGCGATAGTACTCGCGAATCACGACCGGAGTCGCGCGAAAGCCGCAGAGATCCTGCAGGGCCCAAAGAAATCAAAGAAGAGCATGCCCTTTGTACGGGTGACTCGTAGGTCTGGTAGCTGTGTATCATGTGAGAGTTCTCACCAGCCGCAGCCCGGGCTTCAGGATGATTTATCCCAGGTTGCCCGCAAACACCTTAGGACTCTCACACCACGTCATGCCGAGCAAAGCCCCCACTACTCTGGTGCATGTGGCTGTCCTGCAGCCCGACAGTACCCCACAATTAGAATTTCCGCCCCCACAGACGAGACTCCTGGGTTTGTGGTGGTACATGCTCTTAGCTGCTTGTACTTGTCCGCGCATCCTCAAATTTCCATATACTACCATACCCATACAAGCCCAAGGTTTCCAACTCAATAGAGAAAGCCAGCGTCTTAGCCAGCTATGATGTACTTTCAGAACCTGCGCTGCCGGCCTCCAGCTGTGGGCTGCGGCAAGGCCTTGAGGCCGTGCCCTTTTTTGGGCATTTTTTCCCTTCATGGACGGTCTACGAACTTCACCCAGAAAGAAGACAGGTTAAGGAGGGTCGTCTGCCCGGTGTTTGGTATTGTGGTGATTGGGCCTCTGCCTACTCGGTGTTTGGTGTTACAGTCGTGGGGTCCTACCTATTTTGTGGAGGCGGCGCCTGTAAGAGGCCGTGCGTTTGAGCACATTTTATGGGGTTTCAGACTGTTTGGGTTTGGCGGGGGGTTAATTACGTTCCTTGGACTCGAAGCTTTGCATGACGCCGTTTAACCTTGACCCCTAGAGCCTCAAAAGCCCCAAACCCTGAGCCTTAAACAGCCTTAAACCCTACGAAAGCCCCTAAACACAACAGCAACACAGCACAAGCAGTGGAAGCAGCGCAACCCGAACCTGAAACCTGTCTGAATCCTGAACCAGTGAGCCTAAACCCCAAACCCCAAAGCAGTGCAAACCTAAGCCCCTGAACCTTCAACCCGAAAGCAACAGTCGGAGCAGTGGAAGCCCAAACCCTGCACCCAAAACCTTCAACTCTAAACCGTGAGCCAGAAAAAGGGGAATAGCATAGGGCAAGGCCACGTTGAAGGTCCATCTCTGAACACACAATTGGCAGACAGTTCGTTGCTCTTTCGCAAAACGCGCCCGCGATGTGGCCGTTGCACGATTTCAAGCCAGAACTGCCTGAGCAAATTCAGGGACACAATTCGACCGAACCAAAAAGGCGATGTTAAAGTCCCCAGAACAATAAACGAAAGTCCAGTCAGGCTTCAAAAAGTCGCCACAACCTTCAGTGTTTTCGACACCTCCAACTGCTGCGCCTACATGAGACATGTGCGTTTTTCCCAGGTTTCGCACGCGCAAAGTGCCTAATGTACCCCATAAAATGTGTTCACACGCACGGCCTCTTGCAGGCGCCGTCACCTAGTTTTGGGTGTTACGGTCCTGGGGTCATGCCTACCCGTTGTTTGGTCGCGGTCGCGTGGTTCGCTGCTCACCCAGTTCTTGGAGTTTCCGTCCTGGGGGTGTCTGTTCCGGTCGGGCGTCCTCTGCCTACCCCGGTGTTTGGTGTTACGGCCGTGGGGTTCTCTGCTTACCCTGTGTTTGGTGTTATTGTCGTGGGGTCCCGGTGTTTGCTGTCACGTTCGTGGCGTTCTGTCTACCCGGCATTGCTATCGAGTTCGTGAGGTTCTGCGCCTGCGTGGGGATGTCTGCTTACCCATTGTTCAGTGTTACGGTCGCGGGGTTCTCTGCCTACCCAGCGTTTGGTGTTGTGGTCGTGAAGTCCTCTTCCTACTCCCACGTGTTTGGTTACAACGGTCGCGGGATCCTCTGCTACTACCAGCTGCTTGGTGTTCGCTAAACCTCACAGGGACCAGGAAGCAGCGGCAGAGGTCCAAAAAGCCGCATAGCATTCGGCATGAGTAGGCGAAGTATCAGCCGTGGAATGGTGGGTTCGGCTTCCAATCTCAGACCTGGCTTGACTTGTACGTAAGGAAGTGAGCCAGTAGCCCACCGCCAGGACGGGTTCCGTGGAGGAGCTGGACTTGGAAGGTCACGAGCCGGTCCCTGATTTCGGGAGCTACGCGCCACCGGACAAGGCCATGCCTAAGAGCGTTTGAGGGAATATGGCAGGCTCTTCAAACGCTTCTTTGCTCCTCAGGATTCCAAAATCTTCTGTGGAGCCGCGCAGGCCTCAGCCGCAAGCCCCCTGAGTCCAAGCCCCCCCCAACCTCCCCAACCTGTGCTGCCAGGCCTGCCGCTTCCAACAGCCATCCTTCGGCGAGGTGCGGCTTTTGCAGAAGCAAAAGCGGGTCGTGATGTGGGTCCATCCCCATACAAGAGCAGATTGAAAAAACGGAGCATAAAGCGGAGCCCAGAGATGTCCTGCGAGGAGCTGCTGAACCCGGAGAACATGGCGGGGCCCAACGTCCCCAACGACGACAGCACGCCCAAGGCGCTGCTGGAGTCCGAGGCCTCCGAGGCGCTCGGATCCGGGGGAGGGGTTGACAAGGGCTTTCTTTGTCAAAAATAGGGGGCGATCGTGACTTTTTAGTGGCTTTAGTGGCTTAGGAACTCAAGTGTGCTGTTCAGCTCCGCCCCCCCCCTCCCTACTTCTCTCAGTCTTCGAGATGTGGAAGCCTGAACTCGAGGTGCCCTACGTGGCCCTGGAAGACACAGGCGGATGTACATGATGTACTGCACCGGAGCCTCCCTCACACAATAAAAGTCTCTTGATCTTATGACTATGAAACAATTTTACTATTCTTCCTTTCTGCTCGGCTTGTCTTATCTTCTTATCTTCTTCTCTTCTTTGCTTATTGCCTTCTTCTCTGTTTCTCTTGCTTATTGCCTTCTTCTCTGTTTCTCTTTGTTCTCTTCTGCTTTCTGCTCCTCTTCTCTCTTCTTGTCTTCTTCTCTTCTCCACTTCTCTTTTGTCTCATCTTATCTTCTTCTATTCTTTTGTTTCTTCTCCTCTTGTATTATTTTCTTCACTGCTTATCTTCTTTTCTCTTCTTGTTTTATCTTCTTCTGATCATCTTTCTTCTTCTTCTTCCTTCTACTTTCTTCTCGTCTAATCTCATTTTCTTCTCTCCTTGTCTTCTTATCTTGTTCTCTTCTTCTCTTCTTCTCGTGTTCTCTTTTTCTCTTGTTGTTTTTATCCTCTTCTCTTTCTTATTCCCCACCGTCGGTGTGGGGTTGTTAAGTTTTTCACTCAACTCTTCTCCTCGAACTCGTCTCCTCGCCCGGTCTACTCCAAGTGCCCAAGAGTGTCCCTCCCTGCAGTGCCCAACCCCAGAGTGTGCCGGGAGTGCTCAACCCCAGAGTATCTCTACCAAGAGAGGGTGGTGATGTTCGAAGTAAATAGTTGTTTTCTTGTTCCTTCTCTTCTTCTTCATTTTCTTCTCTTCTCATTCCTTCTCTTCCTCTTCTTTCAGGCGAGGAGGCGCTGAGCGAGTCCCAGAAGCTCGTGCAGGACCTGGCTAACGTCAAGCGCAGCGTGGGGCCCCTCGGCCAGAAATTCAGAAACAAGAAGGCCTTTCAGCCTCTTCTTCTGAAGAGTTGTTTTTGTTGTCATTTGTTGTTTTTTCTTTTTTTTGGGGGGGGGGGGGGGGGGGGGGGGGGGGGGGGGGGGGGGGGTCTCTTCACTCTCTCTCTCTCTCTGTCTCGTTTTTTTTTGGGCGCGTTTTCGGTATCGGGCGCTGGCATCAGTGGTGAGCTTTGGGTGAAGGCCCCGGCTTCAGGGGCGAAAGACGCAGAGCTCAAGGAATATCATAGGGCTTGGCTTTGAATGATTTGGGCTTGGATTGTAATTGTAAACGCTTGCGCGCGCCGCCGCCTCGGCAGCCGGGCCGGCCCAGAGCAGGGTCGGTCTCCAAAGGGTACGTAAGGGGACGGAAGCACGTTTTGGCTTGAAGCTCCGGGTCTGCGGGCGGAAGAGGTTTCAGGCGTGTCAGGGGAGGGTGTCGGGGGAGGAGCACCCCACAGAATCGGCTTGCCGCTCCTCCCAAGCAATCCGGTGGGGTCCCACAGGGGGGGGGGGGGGGCGTCACTGAAATCAGAAAATCAGTGGGGGGGGGAATGGTTGGGAAGGGCGGAAGGAGACTGATCTCGGCAGGAGGCCGACGCGAAAAGCATGCAATAACAAGTCTGGGCGTGTTTGTTGCCTTAAGCCTATTGCCAGGTTTTTGCACAAGCTGGTGACGGTGCTGGCTGTGACTGGGCGGCAAGGATGCTAAAAAATTAGGATGGTTTTTGTTGGGTTCAAGCATGTAGTGCAGCACAGGTCATAGCCTTGATCATGGCCGCACTCCTTTTGATTGCGATCTACACGCAGCTCAACCCGGCTGAGCAAGCCACAGCCAGGCGACGATATTGCTTCTGTGCTCACCGTGACTCGCACCCCTCTGAACTCTCAACTTCGACCTCAGGCGGTACACAATGCTGGCCTCCATCCCCGTTGTAGCCCTCTTGCTTCTTGGCCGACTGCCATGGCGGACAGTGCTGGATCACGGCGGTTTCTTTGCTTTTTCAGGTTCACCTGGTTCCACATCTGGCTGGCCATCCAGATGCAACGCGGCACAACGCATTGCGACACACTATAACACGGCGTCGAATGCGGCGTTTCAGATTGATGTTGCATGGCCACTCACTAAGTCACAACGCTTCTACTGCATATCCGGCCTGGAGCCGCGCAGCGATCTGTACCTAGTAGTGACCCAGTGCCGAGTAGCCTACTGCATCGCGCCTAGGAAAGAACAGCTCCAATACACTGCAACAATTTCTGCACGAGAACTATCGATAACTACTGAGAACTACCCAACAGCAATGGATGAGAAGCAGCGCATCGTCAAATAATTGAAGATCTTCCCTTGAACGTCGTGATCGGAGCCGTAGACCGTCTCGTCAAGCAAGTCGACAGTCCTCGGTCGCACTCGCATCCTCAAGTTCTTCTTCACAACGATCTTGCTCAATCCTGCTACCAGTAGTCCGCTAGTCGTTAGCGAAGAGAGCAGGCAATCCGGAGTGCCCCTGAGCCCAGGATGTTTCTCCCCCTGAACTTCGTAGGCCTGGGGCCACTGCAATTCACCAAAGATTCCTCAAGACTGCCTTGAACACATCTACAACCCAGCCTTCTGGGAGGCCTTTGGCAGTACAGAGCGACCGGTATGGGCGTCGGTTGGCAGGGCCTTGTCCCACGGAAGTGCGACAAGATGGCCAGGCAAGATACCTCCCAGACTCCAATACCATGCACTTCTCAATACCATCCGATTCCTCCAGAAACCGCTAAGCATGGCCAAGCATGGCGAAGCATCTCTGCCTTCCTGAGCTGCTTGAGGATGTCCTACAAATGTGCGCGGCCATACCTGGAGGGCCCCAGGGACTGGCTGGGCCGTGTGGACTCCAGACGCCTCGTGCAGGAGGTCGCAAGCGGGAGTCGTGTTGCAAATGTTGCCAGAGCAGCTTGCAGTCAAAAGCCTACTTTGCAGCCCTGTTCAAATGATTCAATTCCAAACGACTGCTGCTAGAGAGACGAGAGCACCCCCTTGCAGAGGTGCGGGGTGAACTGCGGGCCGTGGTCGACCGCGCGGTGAGCAATGCAGTGAAGAAGTACTTCCCCCGCACCGACAACCGGATGCCACAGTCGATGCGGAGCCGTCTCACCGAGCAGGCCCTGGACAGGCCCCGCTTGCACAGCTTGCCCATCAAGTTGAAGTGAACTGCGTTCTCATGTGCTCATGTGCTCTCGTGTGCTCTCGTGTGCTCTCATGACCCTTTCCAGAGAGCGCCTCTGCTAAAGGATTCAGGAGACTTCTCCAGAGCTGTGGAACACCATCACAGAGCTCCTTTGCAACGAGCGGATCGGCATCGCGCCCTGGATGTGCTAAATATTGCTAAATGCCTCCAAAGAAGAATGCACCACAGAGCACCACAGAGCGCTTAGAACACCAAAAAGCTTGTGATGGCTTGTGACAGCTTGTGCTCGCTGCTCGCTGCCGTCAGCGCTGAATATGTCGTCGATGGTCAACACGCACCACAACTAAGGACAACGATGGCCTGATTGTGAAGGTGTTCACCGAGAACAAGTCTCTGCTAAATGAGTTCTTCCTCCGATTGGGCGATCAGGTCTGGGGTTCAGGGCATCTCAGGGCATCTCGGGGCATGTCAGGTCTCCAGAAATTTTGTTTGTTTGTTGGATGTTGGGGCTGTGGGGGACTGCCTCAGGAGTTCCGCTTCATCGAGCATTGTGGCGCGATGATGGGCTTTCTCTGCCGCTTGACAGGAAGAATTCGGAAGAACCCAAAAGCCAAGCAAACTCCGCAAGAAGCCGGCTGCAGCTGCGGCGAAATGGTGCAGGCGGCTTCTTACAGCTCATAGCCTTCAACCATCTCTCGAGCGAGGGACGCGCCATCTTCCTCCCAGCCACAGGCTGGGTTAACTGGATTATGGGGTACTGCGAGCAAATGGCAATGGCAAGTGTGTCCCTGTGCTCGTGCATGGCGAACTGGGGCTTCTGGAGGCTTCCTCCTGGGCATTGTCACCAACTGGCCCCTCGGCAAGTCTATGTTCGAGGTGGCACCACTACGGCCATGCTTGCTATGTCTTGCCCCTGTTGGTGTGAAAAGGCGTCGCAGTGGACTCAGGCTGGCGATCCTCATGGTCTTCAAGCCTTGCTTTCCAAAGCCTATCAGGACACATGGAGCACGAAAGCTTAGAGGCTGTGACAAGTGCTTCACGCAGGATCTGCGGCTGGCACATCTGTGACATCCAGGCAGGGGCGTGGACTTATTGCTTCCACATGTGTTGTCGTTGGCAATGTGCATAATGTTCGGAATGGCTTAGGGCCTCTTTCTCAAGCGTCAGCCCGTGCGGGCCTCGGGCGACAGCCAGGGCTCGCAGATGGCTTTTGAGGGCTGAATTTGACCTCAGGAGGTGTGTGTGCTGTATGCGAAGATGCTGAAGGCCCGGGGCCTGGGGGACACCCAATCGAATCTGTGGAGAGGTTGCAGCTCACGACCCTAAGCTCTAGAACCCGAAACCCTGCGGTCTAAACCCAAACCACACACCAGTCTGCGTTGCAGGAGAACTTCCTCTCCTTCAATAAGATCATCGGCACCTTGGCCAGAGCATCCTACACATCGCGAGTGCTCTTAACTCCACTTCTCCGCCTCGTCTGCTTCAGCTGCAGGCTATCTGCAGACACTTCCCGAGTATGGTCCTGAGATCCAAAAGCTCCGATGCATGCCTTGAAGCTCAACGTTCCTTTTTTGGACCGTTTATTCTGAGTTCTCACGCTGCAACACAGCAAAACTCATGAACAGTCTGACTCTACTGTAAGCTGACCTGCAAGCACTGAGGCTCTGGGCGACAAAGGGGTAGGAAGACAAAGAACATCTGCCGGAGTCTCAAGTGCGAGTTTTTGAGACTCAGGCTCTGGGACCAGCTGAAGGCCGCTTACGTGGCGCACTCCACGGCCGTGCTGCGCGAAACCTTGGGCCGCAGCGCTCAGTTGCAAGGGAGCACAGTGAAGACATGAAACAAGATGCCCGAAGATCAAGCGTTCCAGACTCTTATAGGGCTTTCTTAGGGTTACAGGACGCATTGGCCTGTGAAGATGTCCAAATGGGATCTGGCCCATTTCGAGGATGACCCCAAGCCTCCGATGGAAGCGCAAGCGCACGTGACACCTGCATCATTGGCGGTTGATATTTGCGTTTTCGACCATGGGAAAGAGAGCACCCCTTGGATGAACTCAGATACTTCAGGTTCAAAAAAGAGAAGTCATGGGAAGCCTTGAACCCCTCTGTCATGCCCACGCCATTGGGAGGAGGACGCATAAGAGCTGACTGGAACTTGAGCACAAGCATGAGTGGGCACAAGCACAATGGGAGGCGTCAGAACAAATTGGGGAGGTCCACTCTACAGCCTTGTTAACCCCTTGAGTAGCCATGCTATTTTTGTTTTGAAGGCTCCGCCACGTGGTTCGCGCAGTGGACGATGGGAAAGGAAGGGCCTGGACCCAAGATTCGCGGTTACTTTTCTACTTGTTGCCCAAAAAAGATGGCCTCTCGCTCTAGCGATTCGGATCACTTTAACTTCAGCACTGAGGGCAAGGGCTTGAGTCGCAGCTTTGCATCATGCGTCGTGAGGTACCAAGACATGGAACAGGACCTCAAGGCGCTTTGCACATCGTCATGTGCACGCGCAGAGCATGAGACAGCTCAAAAATGCTCAAAAGTTAAAACACCGTCTGACCTCAATTCTCGAGCACGGCAGTAAAGCAGTCTGGTTCTGCACGCATTGCACGCCCCCTCAGAAGTCAGAACCTTTAGTGCAGTATCTGGCAGGTGGCCATGGTCGATGGCCTCTACCATGCCCATCGGCTCCACAAGGTGCGGCCGTCTTGAAATGTAAAGCCTCTCTTTCCTGCTTTTCTGAGCACTCTCGCCTTTTTGAGAGCCCTCTTCTGGGACTCATTTCGGGATGTCGCGGGGGGCCCTCAGGTGTCTGCCCAGTACATCTCGAAGGTCACGGACATCGAAGCTCGCAACAGGGAATGCCTCCAAAAGATGCGCCTTGACATGAAGAGCACAGAATTAGCAGAAGAGGAGCGCAGGCTTTCCGCCAATTCTTGTGCCTATGCCAGGCCCGCCGACGAGTTCGAGGTTCTCGGTTGTAAGTTCCGAAATGAGGGTGCTTTTGGAGTCTGTGTCAGCCCGTTGCAGAATCTGCTGCGCTTGTCAGAATCTGCTGCACCCCGTCTTCCAGGAGGACGTCCCGGTCCCAGAGGGGCACAGACTTAGCCTAAACCCCAAACCCTATATAAACCCCAAAGCCTGACCCCAAGGAAGTCTCATGAAGCTGAGAGAAGCAGAGGGATTTGCTCTGAGGAGTGGATCCTGATTCTGCTTGGAGGCATTCTGGGAGCGGTCGTCGGCCTCATGCAGGCCCGAAGAGCATCGAAATAGGAGGGGGGAAGCTCTCCTCTCTAAAAATCACGGCATCTTCACAAGAAGGTCCACACAAAGGGGGCCCCCATTGGGATGGGCAAGAGCAAATGGAGAAGGTACATGTATGCAAATGTACATACGTGCCTTTAAACATACTGGACCATACCACATGACACATCGTACGACATACACATACACATACACACACACACACACACACACACACACACACACACACACACACACACACACACACGCATTCACAAGCTCAAACACGGCATGGTCTCACAGTGAGGCTGGACTTGCTCACACTCATTCGTCGTGGGCGACATGAGAATCCACAACTGTCCGAAGGACGCACTGGAAAGGAGGACAAAAGCTCAAAGCACAGACTATACAAACGATTAGAGATCAAATTGAGGACGGAAGGAATAACTGAAGGGGTTCGCTCATGTGTAGCACAGGTCCGGCCTGTGAGCACCACCCTCTTCAACTTCAGGGGCTTTTGGAAAGCAACATAGCTGATTTTCTCTGCCTGTGCATGCATGAACTGTTAAAGCGAGGAAGCTGCTAGCGGCTAGCGAGTTGATGATCATACGATGATTCGCGTTGTTCTAAGCTCTCGCCCACACTTTCACTAGAGCCAGAGTGACCCGATAGTTTTTTGGGATGTAGGCTCAGGACCCCCTTGAAAACCCTGCAGTGCGCAATCGCGCAAGGGCGAAGCTGCGAGCGTGCTCTCTGGAATCAGAACTTTCGTTCCAGTGTGGGGGGAGTGTGGGGCAGCGTGAGTGGGCTTCTTTGTCACGCGACGCGCGTGTTTTTGCTAAGCCCTACATTTGCCCATGCTTTTGCACATCGGTTCCAAGACCCCGAAACCGGGGAGAGACATGGACAGGGTGGGGGATGTCATGTTCAAGCAGCGCTTCGGCGCTGCATGTCTTCAATGTGGAAAAGTGCTTTTTCACATTCTAGGGCCGTGCAAGATAGGGCGCAAAGGCGAAGCGCAGCAGGAATTGTACAAAGGACAACGGCGCCCGAATACAGAACAACATAGAACAACTCCTGATGTGCTGTACGTGCAACGAAAGACTGGGTCAGGTCTACTTCCTCTCCGACTAATGGCGTGAAGTCTTCCGAGTGACGCTTGAAGATGGTGCTTTCTCAGCTCAAGGAAGGTCTTCGGGCGGGCTTCGATAGCGCCTTAAGTTCTAAGTTTGCAGGGCTGCCTGCCGAAGGCATGCAGACTCTGCAGACGCTTAGGAGCTGCCTTGGGCCTGGGCCAATGGCCCAGGAGACCAAGTACCAGCAGAGAGCCAAGCGACTTGGCGATGGGAGAAATTGGCGCCGACCAAGCAAAAGGCTCCAGGTGGCCATCCTCAGCGATTGTAAGAAGCCCTAGGTTGTATAAAAAGTCTCACTCCTGCTATCCGATACTTGGCTATCTTTATTGAGAATCACATAGCAAGAAAGTTTTATCGTTGAAATAATTCGTGGATGTAAACACAACATTGAAAGCACCCAAAAAGTATCAGGCTCATAGATAGGTAGATTGCTAGATAGATAGATGTCTGTAGAAGTTTGGAACCTTGTGGGATGCTTTGTGTGAAATGCCTTAAAGCCTTGAACTGAAAAGCATCATGGCACCAAGGGTCGCTAACTGGAACCAAGGTTCATGACATCTCGAATAAGGGGGTGCTCTGTCGCATTGCCTTGCATATTCGTGCTCGCCATGCTTCGATCGAACCTCAGGTCCGAAGATTCCTGCAAGCATTTCTTCAGGGACATGGGGCTGGGACGAGGCATGTCCCATTGTTTTGCTTTACAGATGCCAGACATCTGAACATGTTGATCAACACCTGCGATTTGGGAAGATGCCACATACCCTCAAGAGTCAAACAGGAAGGGGCGGGAGGTTTTTAGGTGGTGCGGCAGCCCTGCTACGATCATCACTCTGTCCCCTCCGTATGGAACGTAGTCAATCTGGGTGCCCGTCGTGCTTTGCAACCACCAGAGCAAATGAATGTGCTGCTTCTGGCACCGCATTTCCCACAGGGAGGTCTTATTGTTTTGAAAGTATTGCAGGTTTGTTGAGCCTTGGAGGAACAAGGTCGAAACCCACAATTCACTTGTTGGGAAAGTAGGATGCTTCAAGTCGGCGATTGCCACCACAAATGCCACAGTCCGGTGGCTTACAGCATCTTAAGGTGTGCAAATTGTGAGAGCTTAATGCAGATGTTTTCGGCGCTGTCGGCTCCACAGGTTTGATGTGGTTAGATTTGGATGTGGTTAGATGTGGTTGGATGAGATGTGGTGAGATGTGGTTGCTCAGTGCGGTCAGGGCATTTGACAGGTCAGAAGTTTGAGAGCCATGAAAGAGGCGTTTATAGTATTTTGTAGTACATTCGGTGGGTTCAGGAGGTGTGTTAGTTGCTGTCATAGTACAAGAGTGCCATGGATGGCAAGCCCATGGATGAGTTTTGTGCGTACGTCATGCTGGGACTCTCCGAAGGCAGTTCTCTGAGGATGTGTGCGGTTTGCCTTGCGCTGATACAGACGATTGGCCGGCCGCACGCTTTAGGAAGCCTTGCCAGGATGCAGTGCGGCCGACGTACGGCGAGCTTACCGCCGCCTGGCACTCTTGTGCCACCCAGACGCTGAGTTTGAAAGATTTGCTGAATTGCTTTTTGTCTGGAAAGTTTGCAGTCTTCGAAAATGTTGGAACCTGATCTCAGAAGCACATTCAGGACAAGAACCCGGACCAGAATTCCGAGGCACCCTTTGATTGTGTGGATGTCCAAGTCAGGGTCAGATACTGCGACTCCAGGAGTCTGAACGGCGGTTCCGGGACATTGCCTCTGCCAAAGACTGCTTGTTGGAGAAGTTGGGAAAGGCAACCGGCTTGCCGACTCAGGGAGTACCGACTCAATGCAAGCCTCTGGAAGCTATGGGGAGCGGCTTTGCATCTAGTTTTTCACGCAGGGCCCCCTCTCCTTGGGCGGCATCCTCACCGCAGCACAGCGGCGCCGCGCGCGGTGGTGCAAACCGGGCCCAGTCCGCGTCGAGCGCCGCTGGGCAAAGAACCGCTTGACTCACTCAACGAATGCGTACCCTGATATGACACTTTCGGAATGTTTAAGCCGCAAAGCAACAGATCCCACGCTTGGTATAGTACACCCTCAAGCATGCAAAAAGCTTGAAGCCCTGCGACTTGCAGCTTGCAGCGCAGTTGTAGCCCTTTTCGAGAGTTGAGGCGTAGTGCCGGTGAAGCCGCCGCAGCCTCCGCGCGTGGTGGTCTGGGCCTGCCACGTCTGCGAAGTCGCGGCTCTGGGCGGCTACTCGCCCGGCCAGGGCCCCGGGAGGGTTGATAAGTGATGATAAGCGAGCGGTTGTAGTATGTTGTAGTATGAAGTCATGGGTGCGGATGGAGTGTCATGTAAGGGAAAGACTTGCAGCGGCTTTCTTGATAACGGCTTGCTAAGGTGCTCGTAAAGATCGTCTGCAACCATGCATCCAACCGGGTGCGCAAACGGCGCCTTGTGCTGCATGCAAGGGGGCAGGCAATTGTCAGGCAATTTGTCAGTGAGTTTTTCTCCTTTTCTCTTTCATGAGGTCTGCTTCTGCGGACATCCTTTGAGTGACCATCGGCATGCTGGAACGCCTTCGTCAGATGGCTGGGAGAAGTGCCCGACCCTTACTGCGTTGATGGATGCATTTGGCCCCAAAAGCAGAGGCCAAGGCGATGTGACATCTTGGGGGCTTGGGAGAGGAGGAGAGGTGAGGAGAGGTGAGGAGAGGTGAGGAGAGATGAGGAGAGATGAGGAGAGATGAGGAGAGATGAGGAGAGATGAGGAGAGATGAGGAGAGATGAGGAGAGATGAGGAGAGATGAGGAGAGATGAGGAGAGATGAGGAGAGATGAGGAGAGATGAGGAGAGATGAGAAGAGATGAGAAGAGATGAGAAGATATGAGGAGAGGAAAATCTGGGTTTAGGGAGCACGAAGGACTTTGCCTTCTCCTCATACGCATTAAAATAGTTCCACATCGCTGACTCTGACGCTGCAGGTTACAAGTTGTGCCCAAGACTCTCGAAGGAAACGAGCGACAGAAGAGAAGTGAGGAGCGTGAGTGAGTATAGTGAGTGCATGCACCAGCAACATAGCAGAAGGTCAGCACAACTGCGGCTGCGTCAAGTTTACGTACGTGCAGCCCTACTCACGCTGCAGCTGTCCAGAGCCCAGCTGTTGGTATTTTGTAGGGGAGTTCGATCTGAATCTTTCCTGGATTATTTTGATTGCAGAGGTGGACACGGAAATCTGGACCACAGCCCGACAGGCTTCTTCGCCTGTCAAGTAGCAGGCTGCCCCTGCCAAACCTTCCACGACCCCGGCACCTGCCGCGTGTGACTCGGCAGCAGAGCCCTAAGAAAAGGTCCAGACGGGCCCAGTATGGCTCCTTGATCTTGAAAGGCGTTGATCGGGTTTCTTTGTTCTGCGCGTGGGCTGCGGCTTCGTCTCAGGTGCGGCCACGACTGGGTTTGTCACCGCACGGAGCTCCGGCACACTGTGCCCCCGCCTCGGCCGCGCTCGCCCAGCCGGCCCAGGGCCCGGTCAAGATGTGTGGAGAGATGTGGAAAAGGTGTGTGGAGATGTGTGGAGATGTGTGGAGATGTGTGGAGATGTGTGGAGATGTGAGCCGGGGAGGGACGAACCCGCCAAGTTTTGCGTAGTCCAGGTCTTCCAACTCATCTTCCGACACAATCTTCGCCCAGTCCTGTGAAAGAAGATGCAAAAAGCACTCCGAGGCTGTTGCGTTGTTGCATGAGCCAAATAACTCAGGTGCGCCAGAGGCCTGTTTTCACCAAGCCACGTGGACCCCCAAGACCAACTGGAGAGTCACCGTGCAGATTGCAAGCCAGCATCGTAGGAAGCCTGGACCTGAAAAGTTTGAATGCCAACTCAGGGCCTGTCACTCCCCTGGCCAGCGCCACTCGAGCTCTCGCTGGCGAGGCGTGGTTCAAGAGGGGAACCCGCATGCAGCTTCATGGTCTGCGACTTGTGCCTGTGTCTGGCTGAGGTCAAGCCGGTGTCAACCAGACCATCGTCAGCAGCCACGACGGCTTCCAGCCTTCGCTGCAGCCTCTGCGAAGCCTCTGTATGATTCTGTCATCGTGTCTTGACGGCCTGACATTTGTTGTCATGCTGATGTCCAGTGCCCGCTTAACCCCACTACAGGGCCGACAACACCCCGCACTGCACGTGCTGTCGAAGGTGATGTGCGGGAAATTGTGCGGGCCAAAGAATGGCCGATGGCCACCGGATGCCACCAGCTCTTTTTGAACTGTATGGGTGCTGCGGCACGGTGCTGCGAGGTGCGGCGGGCTGCTCCGATGCTTCCCCTTCACAGTGCGCCGAGATGCATGCCGACGTAGGACGTAGGACTCTGTAGCATCCCATCATTTATGCTCTTTGCCAGCTGCAGGGCCCGCGACACCGCGCAGCGCACGACCCTCCGCAGAAGTCCGGGCCTCTTTTTGTGGTGGGTTTCTCTGCTCTGGGGCCGTCTGTGCTCGTTCCTTGTGCCTCCCCAGCCTTTTGCGTTGATTGCTGGTCCTTTTTGCGGCAGGTGCGGCGGCCGTCGTCTGCTGCGATGTCGGCAGGAAAGGGCACTCCCCGAATGTTTCAAGGCCTTGCTGTCACCTGCCGTGAGCGACTTGTGACCGGCTTGTGACTGGTCAAAGAGGAGCTCCTGGAACTCCAGCTCGTGACAAGGAAATGCGCGAGGCACGGGGGGGGGGGGGAGTTCAAAAGAGCATTGCGGCTGGGACGGGGAGGGGTTTAGGGGTTGATCTGAAACCGAAGCCGGTTTGCGAAGCCGAAAAAACCTCCTTAAAGGACCCAGTCAGCGAAGACGTATTGGAAGGCGAAAACGCATTGGGAGGCGAAGACGCATTGGCAGGCGAAGACGCATTGCGAAGCCGACCGAATTAGGGCGAAGACGCATTGCGAAACCGAATTAGGAGGCGAAGACGCATTGTGAGCAGCTTTTCGTTCTAATTCGTCCACATCTGACTTGACAAGAAACGCTACCGCGTGTCCCGAAGCTTCTATGTTCCAGGTAAGCCTTTTCGTGATTCGCAAGCCTGTTTCGGCAGGGAGTACAGTCGACAGGTTGTATGGGCTCAAGGAGGGCAAGTTCGGCGTGGTCGTGAGACGTGGAAAAGTGTAAAGGGGGGACAATTCGGCGTCACCTTCAGCAATGCAGCTTCACTAACTTGGCCGGAAGGATAACGCGATGATAAGGCGGATCAGGAAGGAATCGTGGAAAGCAGAGGAGTCGGCGCGAGGTGCAGCGGCCAATGTCAGCCATCGCCTCGCGCACTGGATGCACGGTCGGCCGCTGCCCGAGTTGCCTCTGGACTTGCCTCGAGACATCTCGAGACATTCAATGGTTCTGGCAGTTGCCTTCAATTCGTTTCTGGAACATGTTTTGGGCCTGCTTTTGGTCTGCGCGTTTGCCGTTTGTGCTTGCTTCCTGTGCTTTGCAGGGCCTCCTCCCGCCGCGCGAAACAGCGCGGCAGGCGCGCTCGGAGTGGTATGGCAGTGGGCGCGGCGTGTTTGGCAGACGACTTCTGCTGGTAAGTTGAGGCCGGCCAGACACATCGAGGACAGCGCTACCCTGCTGTTTTTGTGGAGATGGTTAGTTTTTCTTCTAGGCGAGGCCTCCTGTGAGAACGAAAGTGCGTTGTCGAACAAGAACAAGACACTGAGGGCGGGGTTGGGAATGCTTGGAGGGCTTCGGAGAACTCGACATCAACATGTTCATCTGACTACTATATTACAAAGCTTTCAAGCTTGATGAGGCGGCGTGGAGGTGATTGTCGGTGCGGTGGCCCAACCCGAAATGCTGAACCTGAAGCTGCAGAAAGTACTGAGGGTCGGAGGTGGGAAGGGCAAATGGGGGGAGCGAGCAGGCGGAACGCCTTTGAGAACAAATGGCTTCTCTTAAAAAAGTTGCTTCTCCTTATCGCTGGCCCACAAGGGTCGGCGGTTTCTGGCGCCGTGACTTGCGATCTTTGAGCCCTTTCTGTTGAGGAGCCTTCCCGGCCAAGAGGCGGGGAGAAGTCTCTACGTCTTTGTGGAGTCTACGGGCCTTTGCGAGTCAAAAAGGGCTTTGATGTGCCGTCTCGTTGACAGGTGAGGCCAAAGTCCGCCCGAGGCACCTGGGGGCTGCAGAGGGACGGGCACAGCGACGATTTCTTCTGCTCTTCTAGCTCAGCCTCCCTTCGCTTCTCTTTTCCAAGACAGATTTCTCTCGCGGTTTTCCGCTTTGTGCTTGTTTTGCTCTCTTTTGCTCTCTCCCTTTTTCTTACTTCTTTCTTTTCTTTCTGAATCTGAATTTGATCCTCTTACTCTCAGCTCTCTTTTCTCAGACGCGAAGCGAAGAGTTCTTTCCGGACCTTCGAGGCCCGAGCTCCGCGAGCCTCCGAGCGCCCTTGGAGGCGAGGGCGGCGCGCGCCCAGGCGCTCGCAAAAAGATGCCAAGAGCACAGGAGAAGAGGAGAGCAGCATAGAGGAGCAGAACGAGACATAAAAGAGAGATAAAATGCAAGAAGCTCAAAAAGGAGAAGTTCACCTGTGCGGGATGGGCTCAAGAGGACAAGGGAACAAAGCAGAGAGAGCGTGGATGATGCATACTGTATTAAATCAGGGCCCTGTATTCATAGGCTTTTCCCATGCTAAACCTCAAAAGGCTGTTAGACCGTTCACGGTTACCTGTCGTCGCCATGGAACTGGCAACCGATGCGGCAGTCCAGCGACTTCTCCACCAGCTTCTTTCTGTGTAGTCTGGGCCTCGCTGGAGTGTCTTTCGGTTTTGCGAATGGGGCTCTTTAGATCAGTCGCCGGCCAGCCTGCCCATGCTTTCAAATTCCGCTGTAACGTGTGTACAGCGGTGTCGCGTGCAGTCTACAGCAGTTTGCACATGGCTGTGTGCATCATGGTCTCACGTATGCAGGCCTTTGTTGGCTTTGGTTTCAGCCCCGACAGGTGCTAGCGTAATGATGCGCCATGGTTAGGTCAGGAGTATTTGCTTTTCTGATGGCAAGCACTAGAGTCACTAGAGAACATTAATCTTGTCTGATGACTAACATGCACCTTTTCAGGTGCTCAACGACGCGATGGCTGTTTTCTCGCCTGGGGCTTAGATGTGCAATGCTGCAGCGCTGTAGGGTCCTTTAATCTACATTCTTACTCGACTTTTTACAATCCAGTGCTATTGTGTCACTCTATGCTCGGAGTATCCTTTTGTCCATGATGGTTTTGTGACGCGTGCCGGATGTCAAGGTTCTGCAAGGATGCCCCCTAAGCTCTTGTTTCCATACATGAAGAGATTTGAGTCACGGAGTCCAGTTCTCTCCCGGGGGGGGTGCCTGAAGTTCACTCTAAGAAGCTTATATTCCCGGATGGATCATGATGTGCGGAACGAAGAATGGACAGAACCAGTCACAAGCAAAAGTGCGGAGATCGACAGTTTCATATTTGTTCGTCTCCATCAGAGAATGACAATTTTGATTCAAGGCCTGGCCAGCCTCTCCCAAGTGAGCTCAGGATTCCTGACCCGCAGTCCTCCGACGAAAGCTTCGAAGGGTTGCAGCTGCAATTGACTTCGTCCAGGTCTGAGCTGGTTTCCTGCATTGCAGCCGCTGAATCTCATTTCCGTTTGCAGCACTGAGTGCATGATGTGCGATTGGCCCCAGCCTCGGTACTTTGCTCCAGAAAGTTGTTGAGCAGCAAGAGCAGTCATCTGGCGCGACTGGTTCCCCCCAAACCATGAACATTCCCGATTTCCATTCAGTCAATCACGAACTAAGCTGAGCTTCCACTGTGGTTCACGCACCGGGAAGGGGAGGCCATTCACTCGTATTGCCGCCAGCGGCAGGTCTGTGTTTGCCGGGCAAGATGTTGAAAACATCCGGCGGCAGGCATTATTTGAAAGCTAAGCTCCACGGCCAAAACCAGGCGTGCAATGTTCTGATGGGTCATACCGCAGGGTCATGGCAGAATGAAATATCACGCCCACATGCTGGCTCGACTTGCCAAGCTGACAAGCAAGTGCTTCTACGTGTCTCTGATTTTTGCATGAAGTTCTACCATGCCCTTTCTAGGGGGTACACTTGTATCCTAGTGCTGGACATGCTACCCGAGAAAACTCAGTGGCTCTTTTGGGCAGAGTTCCAGGGTCTCCAGTCCTCCACCCCGCCTGGACTCATTGAACCCATCAGGCCCCTGCCTTCTCCCGTGAAGAATCCACGCCATGCCGCGGTCCAGATCCCCGACAGAATCCCGGCTGCCGGGATGCCAAGCCTCAGGTATCAGCTGCAAACATTAATCCTTGATGATTGTGACGTGGTCTTGGCAGTCTCCTTGGCGGCAGCGGGGCTGGGTTCTGCCATGCTCTCGTTGCAGGTTTGCAGGCTCGAGGGCTGCCCTCGGCACTGCATCTGGGGTGACTGGGCCGTGGCCTCGCAGTGGACATGCAATGGCTTTGCGTTGGCTTCGTGGTTATGGGTGGATTGCGAGTGGACTGCCTTTAGATTCCGTTGTTGCGCAGAAGCAAATCCTATCACATGCTGCAAATGCTCGAACCGAAGCCATCGGCGTGCTGCACCCCCCCCCCCCCCCCCCCCCCCCCCCCCCCGCCTTGTTAACCTTGTTCAGCACGGCAAGCTCGCTGTTATAAGAACATCATGCCGTCGAGAGGACTAGAGGACTTGCTGCAAGTACGCCTGCATCCTTCCAAGCCATGAAGCATAAGCATTGTTTTGCATATGGGCGGGTGGTACGCTGCTCCCCAGCCACCCCCCCCTTCCCCGCCCGTTCAGGCAAGCTCGCGCGTGAGAGCATCACGAGGAATTGCGGCAAGTAACTGTATGAAACATTCGAAGCCCTTCCTACGAGCATGGTGTTTGCACGTGTTTGCAAAGGGGGAGGGGCCAAGATCGGGCAAGTGCTTGTAGAGCTTGTACGAGCATCATGTCGAAAGCAAAAAAAGGCCACCTTCCAAGCCGCGCAAGCTGCAAGCTTGCATCTGCACGGTCAAAATGTTTGTTGATACTTACATAGTCGTTTCTCACCGTCGGTGCGGGGTTGTTGGTGCTCCTCTCCTCCTCGCCTCATCGCCCGATCTCCTGGGCCTGGTCACCGGAGTGGTTGGACTCGCAGGGGGTAGGAAGCCGAGGCGAATCAGCAGAATCACGTAATACGTGATTGGCAGCAGCATTGTGCATAATAGCAGATAGCACTGACGACACGGGTTCATACTAGGTAACATGATATCTCTTTGCAGGGTGAAAACAGAGATCAAATGAGACGAAGCATGAACATGCGCCCCGTGTTTTGCGATGTTTCCCGTGTGTTCCGTGGCCACCTGTGCCTGTTTTAGGGCGTTTGGCTTTGCCATAGTTCTGCCATGCTCCGCCTTCAACGCTGTCCGAATGCGGTAGGGGATTTAGCATGAATGAGTTCTTCCGAGGGCGGTGGCAAGCCCGGTCTGAAAAGGTTGTGTTTTTGTTTTCGACGTTTGGAGCATTTTTGCATTCCTTACGTGCTATGCTCGTCGGGCTTCTTTCCGGTTTTTTTGTCGGGTTTTGCTCTGGGGAGCGCCTTCAGAGGCGGGCGGCTAGCGTTCCCGCGGCACAGGGTTTTCTCCCACACGTGGGTCTTGCCTGGGCTGTTATTGCGCACAAGACGCCCGCAGAAGCAGCCATTTGTCCACAACCTTTGTGATCTTTGTGGTCGGGGAGGGTCTTGGTTAGGGTCTTGGGTTCGGGCTTGTCGGGGCGGGCCAAAACGCCGAGCAACTCATTTCAACGTGCGGCTTGGGGGTGTTGGCGGGCTTTTTCTGCTAACATCAGACGCGCAATCCAGCGAACAAGTATTCAAAGAAGGCAGACGGCAACTTGAGAAGCCGTGGAGTTCGCATTCCAAGCCGTGCGCTGTGAGGTTCAGGGGCTTGTCGACGGGGGCGTGCACATGCTCATACCGGACATGGCCTCGGACACGCTCAACGCCAAGGAGCTTTTGAAAGACGACATCCTCAGTTCTCAAGCCTTTCAATATTCTTTCAATAGTGTAGCAGACGGAGAGCATGCAGAGCAAGAAGGTGCAAGCGCCTCATCTAAAACGTCCGAACTCCAGAAACCGCTCCCTTCCCTCCAGGCCGCGGTGTATGCCATCGAGGAGCACTTCTCCATGAACCCGAAATCGGCTATGCTGTATCTGAGCACTGCAATGGCGAGCGGCAGAAGCGATCCGTGCAAGCAAATGTCCAGAGTGCGTTGGACGGCAATCCTTCCGTGGAGCTAGCCAGCTTCAGTCATATTACAAGTGTTATTGCAATCCTCCTACTTGTGGAAGAGCTGGTGCAGACGTGCCATCAAAAAGGCGTCATGGTTTTGATCGATGGGGCACATGCTTTGGGCCATGTCCCCTTGAACATTCCAAAGATTGGTGCAGATCTTTATTTGGCCACTGGGCACGAAAGGAAGTGCAATCCTGTGGGTTGCAAGGGACAAGCAGCACTTGATTCACCCCAATTGTGATCAGCGACGAGGGCAAGGGCTTGAGCTTCTTCCAACTGCAGTTTTCTTACACCGGCACCAAAGACTACAGCGCCTTTCTGGCAATGTCTGCTGCTTTGGAGTTTCGAGACACTCTGAAACCCGGACCTTTGTACCGTTATTCCTGTGGCAAGGGCAATGCTTCGTCCGGGTCAGCGCGCAGGTTTACAACGAGGTTGCTGACTTTGTGTACCTCGCAGGGCCTCGCGGGATGTCCTTCAGCATGACTGCAGCTGTCTCGCACCACATCATAGCAGCGAGGCGCCACGCCCAAAAGGCGTGTACACAGCGACCTTGGGCCAAAGGGCGGTAGAAAACTCGCGCAGATTCAGCGTTGTCTGGATATACAGATGTAGATGCACGCGGCTGTGCTGCTACTCCCTGAAGCGCGGGTGAGAATCGGTGGTGGGCTTGGCGAGTTTGCGTCGCATGATTGGCTCGGACCGTAGTCATTCGTGAATTGCTGCTCAGCAATGAGTCGGGGCAACAACCTTGGACAGCCCTAGAGACAGCTTGCAACTGGCAGCAAGCAAGCAACTGAGTTGCATTTGCCAAGATTCATCATGTTGCGGGCACGCGCGGCATGGCCGATGCGGAGCCCGAAACTTGCAGGGTCTAGGACACTACATGACTAAAGGTGCGCAACAGCGTTTCAATCCTGAAACCCTAAACCCTAAACCCAATGGCGCCGAAGAAAGCGGAGTCGGCAGCGGTCAAGACATTGTCACCTGTGGAACTGTCGGTATTGCCGCCACGTCGGCAAGGGCATCCGAGGCCGTGCCAACGCGACGTACTGCCCGGAAGTAGTTGGAAAAGGATGGACAGGGCATGTCCAATCGCTGCAGACGGACCTCGCGACATTACAAGCAGCGCCCAGCACAAGCAAACGCCGGGGCCTCTAGCTTCGCGTGGCAGCACGTTTAAGCCCTACACCCCAGGCTAAGGTCAAAGCAAGAGCCGCCGAGGAAAAGGCGGCAGTTGATCTGGACTTGCCAGACTTCGACAGCAAAGTTGCCATGGGCAAGTTTGTAAGGAGGTGTGCTGTACATGCACAGGCTTGGCACATCGCCTGTGATGTGAAGTGCGAAAAGTGCTTCACCACATGCGTCCGACCTGCAGGTCTCCAAGCTTCCTGTCATCATCTGCTCAATGAGTTGGGATGTGATTGCAGAGGGCCTCAAAAGTGCGCAGGCGCTACGTCGGCTAAGCCGCGGGAAGTTTTCATGTGGCCGCAGCATCCCATTGCGGCCAGGGGAAGTGCATTGTCAACGGCATTTCCATGGCCAGCAGCGAGGAAGACTTTGTGCGAGTCGCCGCAGAGTGCAGGCGGGCATAGCTGCAACTCCTGTATGCCATCTCACTTGTCAAACTATGCCACTGCAGACGGTTCGGGGCTGCGATTGTTGTGCTTGCGATGGCAAGGGTAGCGCCGACACGTTGCTTTCGCCTCTATCGCATGCAGCCTGCCCTTGACTTGATGGTGTCGGTGACATGGTCTGGCAGGCAGACGGCGAGTTCCCCAACTATCAGGAAAAAGTCACCTCGTGCCAGCGAGCGTACCATCTGCTGCGATCTGAGCTGGACTTCCCAGCTGAGGACGGAGTCAAGCAGCTCGTGCAGCTTGCGCCTTATAATGTCGCTTTGAGCTACTGGAGTGCAGGACATCATCTTCGACTGTTTTGTCACACCGTTGGGCGCCGCTCTAAGACCATGATCAGTACAGCAAATTGCATCATGGAAGCTGTGGCAGAGCTCGGGTGGGTGGCAAAGCTTGGGAAAGTCTTTGAACTTCTCAATGTTCAAGTACTCTTTTTTGTTGAAGGCTCCCACGGCGTCCGGGCCTCACCGAAAGACTTCATTGACGCCGTGGCAGAAGTGAGGCGGACCAGGTCCCTCCAACCAAAGCGCTCAGCTTTGCCGGACCGCTGCATTTATTGTGTCGCGCTGCTTGCTTGTGGGCAGAGTGGACAGATGCAGAATATGCCTTCCCGATGTGGTATGCTCCTTCTCATGTTGCATGTGTGCACGTTCTCTACATTTCTCTACTTTTTGCCCTGTGCCGCTCCTGTCTTGTGTATGCACCTATGTATATACACACGCATGTGAACATGCTCACCCCGCACGCAGTCAGGTTTTTCAAACAAATTGTTTGTCAGGTCAGCAACTTGGGAGTTGCTTGCCGCAGTGCCGCCATGTTGCGCGAAGCCGTGGCCAATGCGCCGAGACCTTGGCACGTGTCAGAATCCGGGATGCTGTGTGGGGGCTTGCGCCGACAAGTACAGGCGGGGCATGCGGGGGCATGCAGAGGTTCCTGAACCTTGCGCTGGTGGAGCTTGGTCGCCTGCCACGTGTCGACAGCCTGGAGGAGACTGGCAAGCACACTTGTGTGGAGAGCACGGAGAAGAGCAGCTGCACAGGGATTTACTCTTCAGGAGCCCGCTGGAAGCATGTGCTTGGATGTGATCGCAAACCACGCCGTCGACGGCCAGCACATCTCCAGGACTTGCCACACATGTCCTCGATGAGGCACTAACAGCCAGACCGGGCAGGTTCCTCAACTACGGGGCCTTCCTGTCGGGATCGTCAGCTGCGGAGGCTTCTCGGATCCATTAGGGCGTCTCTTTGACGCTTCGAAGGCTTCGAAGGGTGAGGACAAAGGGGGGGGGGGGCTTCAATTCCAACTTGAGAGCGAAGAGGCTTCGAAGGCTTCGAAGGCAAGGAGGAACGGGGAGAGGCTTCGAAGGCTTCGAAGGTGAAGACGAAGGGGCTTTGAAGGCTTCGAAGGCGAAGACGAAGGGGGGGCTTTTGAAGGCTTCGAAGCATAAGGGCGAAGGGGGCTTCGAAGGCTTCGAAGGTGAGGAAGGGGGCTTCGAAGGCTTCGAAGGCGGAGGGGGCTTCGAAGGCTTCGAAGGTGAGAACGAAGGGGCTTCGTCCTCCCTTCGAAGCCTTTGAAGCCTTCGAAGGCCCCTTCGTTCTCATGAGCCGAATCAGACCTTCAGCGCGAACGGGCTTTAAATTCCACCCCCCTCAGTTTTCTTGTTGCCCTTCGAAGCCTGTAGAAGAGAAGAGTGGAGAATTGTTTTAAATTCCACCCCTCAATTTCTTGTCCTTCGAAGGCCTGTTATTTCTTTTTGAAGATGAGAGAGAAGGGACTTCTTCTAAATTCCACCCCCCCCCGAATCTTTTTTTTTGGATCTCATTTTTGGATCTCATTCTTCGAAACCTCAGAGAAGACTCTGGAGATGCCCCCCGTCTCTCACCTTCCAAGCCTTCGAAGCCTCTTTCGTCCTCACCTTCGAAGCCTTCGAAGCCCCTCGTCCTCACCCTTCGGAGCCTTCGACGAAGCCCCCCTTCGACCCTTCACCTTCAAGGCTTCGAAGGCTTCGAAGGCTTCGAAGGCTTCGAAGGCTTCGAAGGGGAGGATGAAGCCCCTTCATCAGTTGAAGCCCCTCCTTTGTGAAGGTCCTGGGATCCTGCCTGGATGACGCGGGACGGAGGCGAGGCCTACAACAAGCGCCCGCGCAACGTGCGCGCGCGCGGGGAAGTTCCAGCACAACCGGAAGCTCACGGCGGGCCGGCAGCGACGCCTCGCGGAGGCGCCTTCCGCGCCCCCACCAACGCGCAGAGGAGCTTCCAGCCCCAGTGCGGGCAGCTGGCGGGCTGCGACTCGATGACCGTGCGGGCCACGGACGGCGCGGAGGCTCTGCCCTGCTGAAGCACGCGCAGCCCGTGTCCAAGGTTAGCGGGGAGTCCGTGCTGCGGGACTTCTGCGCCGCCGCTGCCGCCGCCCGCTGCGGCTTCGAAGGCCGCAGCCAGGAAGCTGCGCCTGGCCGTGCGGCAGCTGCGCGACTTCAGCTCAGTTGGCTGATCACGGATATAGTCCTTACCTTCGGGCACCAAATCTATGACAAGGCGCCCATTGGCCCCTTTGAAAGGGCATCCTAGCAGTCCTAGCACATGGGACATGGGCGCCTTCAAGAGCTTCCTTATCGCCAACCTTGGGGCGCTGAAGAGATACTTTCATGCCATCACCACAGCGTGCTCGACGGGGCCCACCTTCGGCGTTTGTGTATTTGTCACAAGTAGAGCGTCTCGCTTTCTATACCGTAGTGAGGCTAGGGTTTGTCCGAGCGACTTCTTCTTTCACTAGAGGGCTCGGCCCGATGATTTCCTGACACCGTCCTATCGAGACGGAGTTGGAGCCTGCTTTCAAATGGCAGCCTGCGCGACAGGGGGGATGATCGACAGTCAAGAATACCTGGCGTACTCAAGCAAGCTTGTGGAGCATTGCGGATCCAGGTGTTGCCACAATTTCGCACAAACAGGCATTCCGCGAACAAACGGTTGCCAGCTTCGTTCTCCCCACTGATCGTAAGGTAGGGGCTGCTCTCTTCGCCACACCGTCATTAGCCACAGCTTGGGTGCTGAAGGCCACTTGGCAGGATGAAAGCACCATCTTATACCGTGACTTAACATACGAGTGCAGAGGGCAAGCCCCCTTGTTCAGCTCCCAAAAATATTGGGGCACCGTGTCGGAACTGCAGGCTCAGGGACTCACTCTGGAGCCCCTGCCCAATGCCGTGTGCTGCGTGCCCTATCAGGCGGCGCTTGAAAGTGACGGCGCCGCCAAGTACCTCACGTATCTCCTGGGCGATGCCAAGCTGTTGGCCCCGCCGAAAAGAGGGCCGGCGCCGCAGGTCGATGCTCCATTTGAACACAAGGCTGGAATTGAACAGGCCCCGCAAGGCCTGCGTCTAATTCCAGTAAGGGCGGGCAACGCCCTCCAAGAGACGGCGATTGACTCAGACTCCCCGGGAAACAGCCCTGTGCCTGCGGGAAGTGCGGATTCGGTGGCTGCCAAGCAACCTCCACCCGCCACCCCTTCAGGGCGGCAGGAGAGTGACCAGATAATTCTTGAACCCAACTCTGCTCAAGTCAGGGTGCGGAGATGGGGGGCATCGTGGCACAAGCCTGCCCCAAAGACAGCGCGCGAGGCTCAGTTGCGCGTGTGGCCACAGGGAGGCGTCACGGACGCCGTGTGTTACGCAGCGACGGACACTACGGACACTGGCCCCCCTAAAAAGGAGGCTGGGACTAGAGCCCCGCCCCCGGGGGTTCGCCGCCCTCCAAGGTTTGCGGCCCGAAAGCGGCAAACCCGTCAGTCCAGAGTGAGGCAAGGCACGCATCACGAACGCCATGTAGCACGCCGCGGGCCACAACCGGGCAGGCGAAGGGAATGAGTGACCCGTCGGCGCCAACTCCTCAGTCGAGCTTTGGCTCGCATGCCGGAACATCTTGTGGCGCGGGAGGCCAAAGTCCCCCCTACCCCACCTCCCCCTGCGAAAAAGGAGACTCGTCCCCTGGTGCTAGACAATGCAAAGCCGCAGGAGCCACCAAAAGCGAAGCTTCGCAGGGCCCCGCTCGCGCAGCGCCAACTTGGCAAGAAGAGCAGGAAATAGACAGGAACAACCAGTCGGTAAGCGGTCTTATGTGGAAAGCGCTGGCGGCAGGGCATCATTTCGGTAGGACCGTCAAGCCCAAACCCTACATGAGTCCAAAGGATTCGACGCATCTAACAACCCATGAACAACAACTTCGTGCCTACCGGGCCTACGAAGATATGCTGCAAGGGCTACCGAACCACCTAAATGAGCCCGAGTACCTTCTTGAGGTCGCTGATAAGCTCCTCCACCTGCCGGAGACCTTCCCAGCATCATACTTACAACTTTATGACCCGCTCGTCCCGCAGTGCCTAAAGCTCTCTGGTTCTCTGCAATTCATTGACCTGGAAGCAATGTTAGGCAGCAATGCGCCACAACTTGACCTGGCCTCCCTCAAGGATTCCATTGTAGGGTATGGTTTCCTTACCACTGCGCAGTACATCGCCGACCTGTTTTTCGCTGTTGCCGACATCCCGGGCGTTCGTAATGCACAGTTCCCCGCAATGCTGTGTTACAGTGATCCGGACTACTGGATAGGTGCCCTACTGCTGGCGTTTGAAGCTCACCAGAATGGGCCCCCTGGACGCGCAGCTGGCCTACCTATAGTGTTGGGATTCCGGGCCAGGTCAACGTGCCCCCGGCGGCGACGGTCGCGCTTTTGGCTGGTCGGGCATATCAAAGGCCCACCTGCCCTGAGACTGCGTACGAAAGGGATAAAAAAGGCTTCCCCATGGTGCAAGGACAGGTGCAGGAGTCAAGCTTGCGAGAATGGGCGGCGCGCTCCAGGAACATGAATCTGGAGGCGGCCAGAAAGAGGCAGGTTCCGACAATTAACACGTTTGTGAGGGTCGCCTTGGAAGGCTCGCGTGCGCTCGGGCATAGACAATATCGCAAGTTCAACCCGACTGACCCTCCGTTGCATTTTCTTGATGCCATCAGACAGGCTCTCTCGGCGTCAGTGGCAAGCCAACACCTGGAGCATGTTTGGGCGGCCTATAATCTGGAGTGGCCAGATATTTACGGCGCGTGCCAATGTATCGTTTCGTCGTGTCCTCCCATTGGAGGGGCTTCTCGATATGCCACTTGCCACGGAGCCCTCCGCGGCGGCACACAGCGAACAGCACCTCAATGTCCACGGCCGCTCCTCCGAGTCGGAAGACATCCGGCCAACGTCCCCTGCTCCGGAACCACAAGAAATGGAGGATGCTGCGCCGCAAGTAAGGGACTGGTGCTTTTCGGAGCTGCACACCACTGACCTAGCTGCTTTGCGAGAAGTGGACGTCTGCATTCCCCTCCGATTGCCGGCTTTTGAAGATGACCACTGGAACCGGCTTGTGGCACCCCCAACCATGCGTGGGCCCAAGCACGCCCGCACAGAATGGTACGACGCTGCTACGGCGCACTGGGCCGCCATCAAGGGGCTTGCCCGGTCGAGGCACCCCACAAAACAAAGTCTCAATAGCTTTTGGTTCAAGATGTACTGTCATCGAAATCCCACAGAGCCAGAGCCCTCTGCTCTCAAAGCGGTGACCTCCTTCCCTTACAGGCATAAGGATGACGGAGTAATCCAGTACGAGCAAATAAATGCGGCCGCTAAAACGCTGTGGCACTCTGCCAACACAAAAGTGGCCCAATTGTCGCCAGTGCCCATTCCCAAAGGCATTACGCCTTGGGGAACGGAAGCGGAGAAGTTGCTGGGAAAAGTGGGAAGTACGTCGCAGGATCCTAACTGGGACCTTGCACAGTCGTCCGTGGTGGCGGCCCCAGCAGGGGCCGTCGCGGAGCTACACTCTCGATGGTCTGGACGGTGCCGACAGGCAGATAGCAGATGGGATGGTCCCTGGCAATCATAGGATAACTGCGTCATCCGTATTCAGTGCTTGCTATGGCAAGAATGAAAGCATCTGATGCAACATAACCTGTTAAGAGCTATGGAATCGGTAGCCTCTTGGCTACTCTGGGATATCCCCACTGGCTGATCACCATGGGGTAGGAAGATTCAGTAGGGCGAACACCAGACCCCTCGCCGACTGGTCACGGTGCGTGCTTCTACGCTGCACTGTGCTGCTTCGCCAGGCAGTACGCACCCTCGGCTGATCGCCGTGGTCAGTCGGCTGTGGCCTATACAGAAGACCCGCTGGCTGATCACCATGGGGCAATTGGGAGGGGTAGGCACCGGTGGTATATTGCATGTCTCGGTTACGACAACAGTCAAACATCGGCCGCTGCAGCATTTCGAGTAGACCGTCCGTCCTTGGAATGTCTGCCAAGACTGCTGCGAGCATGCAAACATCCTACCTGCAGGCTCTCAACTTATTCAGATGATTGCGTGATGGTGATTTTGATTTCTGGCACACAGTCGCATTTTGCGATTCCCCCACACGACTTGGTGTTGCGTTGGCTCTGAACAGGGACTACATCGACGAGCTTGAGTACTGAGCGCGTGGGGTCTTCTTAGTAGTTTCGCCGCCCCCTCTTGGTTCTTTGGTTGGTTCTGGTGTTGCTGCTTGGTTGGCTGGGTTTTTTCTTCTCTTTGGTTCTGTTGTTTCTTTCTGGCGACTCGTTTTACACTTAGTTGCGAGACCCACAAGACCGGCCTGCTGTGCTACTGATGTAGTAAAGAGGCGTCCGCTTAAAAAAAATGCGCGACTTCAACGTCCCACCGGCGCCCAAGGGCGCCGCGGGAACTGAAAAATTGGCACCCTCTTGGCTTCCCCACTCGAAGGGGCACTGGAGCCCTCCCGCCACATCAAGGCGAGGTGCCGTCGGGAGGGAAAAAAGGCCGGAGCGGCGTGGGCGAAGCCCGGTAAAAAAGAGGAGCGGCCGGCGCGGAGCGCGTGTCGAAGAGAGGTAAGGCCGCAGCGCTCATCTGCTGCGGTCTGCTGCGGCTCCGGGACCTCGAGCACGTGCGGATTTGCTCCTGGCACAGGGAAAGGAGAAAAGGAGAGTCTCACGGTGTGAGCCAGGCCTCGGAGCTCGCGGTGCACCAGGCGGCCCTCGATGCGGTCCTGTCCCACACAAAGCCCAAAGGTCCTCCACCGAGCTTACGACCGCAGCCCCCTTTGGCTCAAGGCCGCGTCTGCTCGAGGTGGTTAGTAAGCCACCAGGAAAGCCATAGGAGGGGTGGGAGTCCGTAGCTGAAGGTCTGGCTTTGCTTGGAACCCTACTCGTAGGTAGCGGCCCCTTCTGGGACAGCCCGGAGGCGTAGGTGTGCTTGGTTCTGTGTTTGCCTTGTAGCTGGGGCCTTAGCATTGTGCAGTTCCTTGCCAGCAGGCTGTTCACGAACCGGTCCATGCGCCCTGGAGATGGCGAGGATCCACCGCGCGCTGCGGGAGGTGCCGCCGTGCTAGACCTGGCGGGCGGCTGCGTGCACGAGCTCACGGAGAACCAGCGCAGCGACGAGACGATCTTCCGCTTCCTGCAGTGGCTGCGCGTGGACGAGCCGGAGCAGGCGCCGCTGCGGGAGGCCGTGCAGGCGGCGTGGGAGCGGTTGGGGCCACCCCGACACCTGCCTCGTCATCTCGCATGCCCACAGGATTGCCACCAACGACGAGAGAACCGGCGGCTCGCGCCGGAGGGCGCGCTGCTGGTGGAGCGCCGGGCGCGGGCACTCGCGCGGCAGCGCTCGCGAACGACTTGGGGCGTTCCATGGAAGACGCTTTTTGGCGTGAACTCGTGGAACATTGGGACGAGCGTGATGCAGGCGCTTCGGGAGGCTGGCGACGCAGAGGCGGCCGTTGTCTTCAGCTTGAGGTTCTCGGGTTGGGAGATTCATAACAACGCAGACAGGCTCCTGGAGGGGCCGCTCTCGGCAAAAGTTCGGCATCTCCCCTAATTGCACGCCACCGCACCCCCGCACCGCCGCACCGCACCGCCGCACCGCGCCGCACCGCGCCGCACCACACCGCGCCGCACCGCACCGCGCCGCTCTCGGAAAAAGTTCGGCAGCTGCCGCCGCCGCGCCGCACCGCGCCGCCGCACCGCGCCAGGCCAAAGTCCGCCCGAGGCACCTGAGGGCTGCAGAGGGACGGGCACAGCGACGATTGCTTCTGCTCTTCTAGTCGCCCTTCGCTTCTCTTTTCAAGACAAATTTCTCTCGCGGTTTTCCGCTTTGTGTTCTTTGCTCTCTCTCTCTCTCTCTCTCTCTGTCTCTGTCTCTTTGTCTCTCTTTCATTTTTTTGTCTCTCTACCTTTCTTCTTTTCTGACTTCTTCTTTCGGGGCGGCGCGCGCGCAGGCGCTCGCAAAAAGATGCCCCAAAGCACAGGAGAAGAGGAGAGCAGAAAGAGAGTAGAATAGAGAGCAAAGAAAGATAAGAAGCAAGAAACTCAAAAGAGTCTCAGGAGAAGTTCGCCTGTGCGGGACGGGCTCAAGAGGACAAGGGAACAACGTAAGAGAGAGCGTGGAAGATGCATGTTAAATCAGGGCTTGCTAGACTTCAAAAGTTCCACCGTTACCTCCTTGCGTCGCCATGGAACTGGCAACCGATGCGGCAGCCCAGCGACTTCTCCACCATCCTGCATTTGTGGTTGGTAGGGTATACACAGTTTGCGAATGTTTTGGGCTCTGTAGTTCAGTCGCCGGCCAGCTTGTTGGCACGTGCTTGCAAATTCAGGTACAATGTGTGTACAGCGGTTAATGGTTAGGTCAGGAGTATTTGTTTTTCTGATGACAAGCACAAGAGTCACTAGAGAACACGGCATGGGTGTTCTGTAGCAATCTTGTCTGATGACTAACATGCACTTTTCAGGTGCTCAACGACGCGATGGCTGTTTCCTCGCCTGGCGCAATGCTGCAGCGCTGTAGCGTCCTTTCATCTACATTGTTACACGACTTTTTACAATCCAGTGCTATTGCGTCACATTATGCTCAGAGTACCCTTTTGTCCATGATGGTTTTGTGATGCGTGCCGGATGTCAGGGTTCCGCAAGGATGCCCCCTAAGCTCTTGTTTCCACGCGTGAAGAGATTTGAGTCATGGAGTCCATTTCTCTTCTGGGCTTCCGTTTGCAGCACTGAGTGCATGATGTGCGATTGGCCACAGGCTGGGCGCTTTGCTCCAGAAGGTCGTTGAGCAGCAAGAAATGTCATCTGGCGCGATTGCTTCCCCACATTGCAAGCCTGGAGCGACAGATATGCAAGCTCCAAAATCAGATTCTTGCCAGCACGAGTTCTCACCACGGAAGCTGAGAGCTATTGAGAGCTACTTCTGCCGGAGTTTGGGGGTCTTCTTTACCAGTTCTTACCCATGCCGTTCTTGGATGTTTCTATTTGAAAAGATCAACGCAGACATGACGGAGCCCCCCCCGCCCCTCTTGAAACGACAGCATGTATGAAGGCATGATTTGGGAGGAAAGGCGGCGCCGCCCCTGCCACATCCGGACTTTTCTCGGGTGCCTTGCTGTCCACGGGCCACTCCTGACAATCGAGAAGGGATAGATGTTTTGGCAAACCCATGAGACAGAATCATGGGCAGTGTGTTCCGAGCGAGGTATGAAGTCCAGATGCAGAGCAAGGTGAATGGAAAGCGCTTTCTGCTCTCTCACATCTTGTTCCGCAAGTCCCACCAGTCCAACAAGAAAAAGGAAAAGGTCCAGGAGGCGTTGTCTCCAAGGCCGCTGCTCAGCTTATTTGATAGAACCTGGCACAACCTGGTACATGCATATGCAAGGAAAGCAAACAGTAGCGCCGCTCTTAAGCCAACATGCCACAGCTGCTAGAAGGCGGACTGCCCGCCTGGAACGAGGTGCGTTGAGCAAGTGCGGCCCTGGACTGCGAGTTCTTCAACGTGGCTGATGAAGAGAAGGTGGGTGACCAGTGGATGCAGCGGGGAAGACGAAAGACGGGGTGGGTTGAGGTGCTCTGCCGGCTGTGTCAGTACTGTAGCAAGTGAGGCTAAGGATGATGGTGAAGTCTGTCAGATTCTGTGAGCCATAAAGTTGAAGGACCAAGATGTCTGGAGCACTGACGACTGGAGCGGCTTTGAACCGGCCCCTCGCTGATTGTGCAGGCCAACACAAGTCGGGTCTTGTGGTTATGGCCGACTCAAGCGATGCGTGCTTCGCTAGAACTGCTCGTCAGCGCGGTGTTCTGCATTTGATCACACTGTAGTAAGGCTTGCCGGTGCTGAGACTCAATAATACTCAGTAACTGTGTGACGACGCCTTCAGATTGCAGCCATTTCAAGGCCATGTACCCTTCGTTCCCAAAGTATGGAGAGCTGCCCCCCCACAAGTTTGCTGCCTGTCGGCAGGCCTGATTTGACGATATGTGCCGCCATGAGTGTCAAGCCAAGGCTCCGAGATCCCTGACAGAGATGGAGGGTCCGCATGGTTGCCACGAGCCTGTAGAGCTTCTCAGCTGCAACTTGCTCCAACCCCCCCTTTCCCTTCGTTTTTAAGGGAAGGGCAAGGAAGCTGAAACCAGGCGAGTGCGTCGTGATGCTGGGATGGCAGGTGTTGCAAGGTGTTGTTTCTTCTTTTTGGCCTTTGCTTCAACAATCCGGTGCAGGGTTCAAAGGGTTGAGGGTGATTCTTCCTGTGCCCCCAGTTTCACAAACCCGGAGGAGCACGTGTATGTGTGCAACACTTGGGGCTTTGGGGTTCCAGCAGCAGAGCAAGACATAGATAGTTCGACACTGGCACACCGTGGCGGTGTGCATCTGTATTCCGACCTTGAATGTTGTCTTAGAGTTTACAGTGCGCAATGGCATATACGAAACGGCATCATGCATCTGACTGCCCGAGATCTACACTTCCATAGGAGACAAGCCTAGAAAACATGCACCTTGCCTTTGAGGGAAGGTCAAATTCCGCGCTAGACTCACAAACAATAAGTCAAAGCTGGCTGCTAGAAGGAAAACCATCGTCGCCGTCGCGGACAACGGCGGTTTGGAGGTGCGGAAAGTTGGCGCAAAGCCTCTACGCGCACCATCTTAGACTCCATTTTCAGTGATTGAGGACAGCTGCCACGGCGCTGCAGCTCAGAGGTCCGTCTGTAGGGTTGGGGGGTTGATGGGGCTTGGGCTTAGTGCAGTTCTGGCGATGTTTTCGTTTTTGCCACAGACCTCGGCGACGGCATGTTCCGAATGCCCACAAGCAGCAGGATTTGCTTTGGTGTCCCACCCAATAAGTCTTCAAAGGAATTTGGATTTGCACGTCGAGTCACGTCTGCGAGGAAGCATGAGGAAGCAGGATTTCCTTTAATGTCCCACCCAAAAGATCTTATGAGGAAATTGGATTTGCTTTAGTGTCCCGTCTATGAGGAAGCATGAGGAAGCATGAGGAAGCATGAGGAAGCATGAGGAAGCATGAGGAAGCATGAGGAAGCATGAGGAAACATGAGGAAGCAGGATTTGCTTTGGTGTCCCACCCAATAGGTCTGATGAGGAAATTGGATTTGCTTTAGTGTCCCGTTTATGAGGAAACATGACGAAAAGGGATTTGTTTTAGTGTCCTGCCCAGGAATAGCATTTGCCTTAGTATCCCATCCAATAGGTCTTATGAGGAAACTGGATTTGCTTTCGTATCCCATCTTTGAGGAAGCATGAGGAAGCAGGTTTTGCTTCAGTGTCCCACCCATTAGGTCTTTTGAGCAAATTGGTTTTGTTTTATTCCACCTATGAGGAAGCATGAGGAAGCAGGACGTACTTTCACCGAATAGGTCTACAATTGGATTTGCTCTAGTATCTCATCTACGAGGAAGCATGAGGAAACAGGATTTGCTTTGGTGTCCCACCCAATAGGTCTTATGAGGAACTTGGATTTGCTTTAGTCTCCCCAGGAAGTAGGATTTGCTTTAGTATCCCACCCAATAGACCTTATGAGGAACTTGGATTTGCTTTAGAATCCCATCTATAAGGAAGCATTAGGAAGTAGGATTTACTTTAGTGTCCCATCCAATAGGTCTTATGAGGCCATTGATTTGCTTCAGTGTCCCGTCTATGAGGAAGCATGAAGAAGTCGATTCTATTTTCATGTCCCACCCAATAGCTCTTATGAGGAAATTGGATTTGTTTTAATGTCCCGTCTGTGAGGAAGCATGAGGAAGCAGGATTTGCCTTAGTGTCCCACCCAATAGGTTTTCTGAGGAAAGTAGATGCACTTTAGTATCCCGTCTATGAGGAAGCATGAGGAAAAGGATTTGCTTTAGTGTCCCACCCAAGGTGTTATGAGGGAATTGGACCTTCTTTAGTGTCCCGTCTATGAGTAGGCATGAGGAAGTAGGACTTGCTTTAGTGTCCCGCCCAAGAGGTTTTATGAGGAGATTGGATTTGATTTCGTGTCCCGTCTAGGAAGAATTATGAGGAAGCAGGACTTGTTTTAGTATCCCATCCCATAGGTCTTATGAACAAATAACATTTGGTTTAGTGTCCCATCTATGAGGAAGCATGAGGAAGCAAGATTTGCTTTAGTGTCCCACCCAATAGGTCTTATGAGGACATTTGGTTTGCTTTAGAATCCCGTCTGTGAGGAAGCATGGGTAAGTAGGATTTCCTTTAGTGTCCCATCCAATAGGTCTTATGAGATCATTGGATTTGCTTCAGATTCCCGTCTATGAGGAAGCATGAGGAAGTAGGATTTGTCTTAATGTTCCACCCAATAGGTCTTATGAGGAAATTGGATTTACTTTAATGTCCCGCCTATGAGGAAGCCTAAGGCAGTATTTGCTTTGGTGTGACCGCCCATAGGCCTTATGAAGACATTGAATTTGCTTTAGGGTCCATCTTGAGGAAGCATGAGGAAGCAAAATTTGCTTCAGTGTCCCACCCAATAGGTCTTTTGAGGAAATTGGAGTTGCTTTAGTATCCCAAGTATGAGGAAGCATGAGGAAGCAGGA